TTAAATGATAATTAGAAGTTCTTATATGGTTGTGAGGCTCAAAAGCAAGGAAGGCAGCTGGGGAGGAAAGCAGGATTTTTGAGGGGTGCCAAATAATTGAACACATGTTGAGCTAATAAATCTGAATCATTTGATGCACTTGGACTTTGATAAATCTCTAGACTTTAGGACACTTTAAGCTACTTGACACTTGAAGCTTCATTATATATAAAATGAATATAATCATGTACAATCCCTGTAGTAAATCCTGTAATCTTAATAGAGTGTCCCACAAAGGTTCGTAGATTGTTGATTTCAGTGTAATGGTCCCATAATGTACATTTTATTAAACAGAAAAATGCAAAAAAGAATCCAAATTGATATTACTTCAATGATACTCAATTCTCAAAGGAGTCGAAGAATATGAAGAAAAGACACCTTTTTCCAATAGTTAAAGTCAACAAATCCAACTGCCCACTATCTGTCTTTCCCCGTGACACTGAAATTAGTCCATCCATCAAAGAAATGAAATTATTCTTCACTTGAATTAAGAAGAATTAACTTTTAAGATAACCCCCATTCCTAAAGTTTTGATCCAACTTGCACTAGTATATTTCATGTTCAATTGTATTTTTCTTTTTCTTTTTTTTTTTTTTAAAGAAACTTTGATTGGCATGTCCATTCTGAATGTGAAAACAAGAAAAATCTTGAAACCTCTCACTGATTAAGTTCCTGATTTGAAGTAATAACCAATCAGGCTATTAGAAGAGTTCAAGATTAGATTTTTGAGTTTTGAAAGGAAAAGGGGAGAGAAAAAACCAAATCTTTATTCACCCTATTGTTGTAGAAAGAGATATACTTTTTACCATTTTCTTCAAGCAAAAATGGGAGCATGTTTTGGTTGAGAAGAGAGATGAAACTGATAAGTGAAAACAATTTCCATTAGGGTAAAAATGAAGAATCATTGAATACTCCCCAATATACAGTGAGAGACTTTGGAAAAAAGAGGAGTAGTTATCATGCTATATATGACCCATGCAAATGTTAAAACAGACTTTTCAACAAAAAGAGAAAAATGTTAAAACAAACAAACTGACATACTTTTTCTCGGTATTTTGTTGAATGTTTTGTCAGTTTATGTGCCCCAACTCCTGTTGACTCAGTCATCTTTGCTTTTTTTGTTTTTTAATTTTTGTTAGTAAAGGTCTTTTTGATATATATTTTAGAGGTATAAGTTAAAAATTAATTTATTAATTGTTTGATTAAATTTATTCACATGATATTAATACAAAAATGAATATTTATTTTTATATTTTTTTTATACATATTTAAGACAATAAAGCATTTTTACTTTGTACCCAAAGGGCACAAAATAGAAAAATCCATCTTTTTAAACAT